TGACTGAGAGTAAAAAGAGGGTCGACGAGAATGTGTATATGCTCACTCATTCCTTATTGCATCGAGCAAAGGCCGGCTGCTTTTCTCTTTACCTAAGTAAATACACACACGGACGCCAAAGGGAAGCCTGTCTGTGTATCACGCAGCTCTCGGCACATATCACAGTCTGTTTGTGCACCAACCCCCGCTTCTTCCGTCTCTTTTTCTCTGTCCATCGTCTTACACGCTCAGCCGGTCCTGAAACGCAGACCTCGCGAATAAAAATTCAATTCAGGCTTCGGGTCGAGATTCCTCTGGCATGAGGAATTAGATTAGGAGACGCTCCGGCACCGCGTGTTGTTTTTTTCCCTCTCTCTGAAAGAGAAAAAAGCGTGTCCCTTCGCCAAACGTGCAAAAAAGCACTTCGTCGAGCGTCCCCTGAAGGACACGGTCGCACATATTGGCCGAAGTAACCAAGTTTTGTTCGGCCTCGCGTAGCTGATGGAGAGTGACGACATTGAAGTGTCGCTCCACGCATGCATGCAGATAAAAAGGACGCACCCCGCTTCGCACGGGTGCTTAACAGGTTGCCTATCTCGTTCTTTGAATGTTTATTGGGTGAGCTCGTCTCACTGAATAATAGGCTTGGTTGTCATTTTATTTCTTGAATGTTTGTTTTACCTCAATTGATAAGTGTAAGTTTACAGCCATAATTATTTTAACGATGGACCTAATCATGATTAAAATTTGTTTGCATGAACCAGGCTTTGATTGTGAAGTAAGCTTAAACTAGAAAATAGAAAAAAAAAACACATTTTTATTATTTGCTATGATTTAATAAATTTGAAATTTATTAATTTATATTAAGTCAGTTAATTATGTTTTCCATATGATAAAAAATTAAAATATTAATTTTCAGCAAAATTATATTGAAACGGATTTATTAAAATTATAATATATCCCTTCAACATTGAGCACAAGGTTAATCATACACAAAATTAATGTTAATTTCAATTTCCTATCAAGAGTTTATTTTCTCACGATGGAAAGCTTTTCACTTAATTTTGTGTTCTGTAAAAAAAGCTTTTGAAGTTCAAACTAAATTTTTTTGGTTTTACTTGTTTACAAAGCGTTTCCAGTTCAGAGGAGAAATATTTTTAACTCATTTCAACTTTGCCGACTCGGCTGGGTGGAGGAGCACAAAAAATATAAGAGAGGATAAAATAAACTTTTAACACTCGAATTCACAAAGGGCCGCAGTTGCGAACATTCAGCGTGTGCCCTCCCTCACTGTAGAAAAGAAAAACAATTCGACAGGCAAAAATCCTCTCACATTCTCCGAGAGCATCTCCGTCTGTCACGTATATCTGGCCGAGGGATGATATTACCGCTTCTGCCGGGAAATTGCATGATATATTTTCTTCTCTGCGTGTGTCTGATAAATTTAACCTTTCCTCGTCCATCCATCCGAATTCCCCTAGTGTGTATAGAATGGGAGGCAAAGTGCATTTTCCATTCAGGGACCCTTTTTCGGCGCGGCGAGCATTGAAAAGATGGAAAAGATGCAAGATGATAGGGGGCAGAGAAGGATGCTCGTCCGCCGTAGCTGGGTGTAATTCTCGGGCTCACGACTCAATAATGCAATTCCATTTCTTTGTCAATCACAAGTGTTTTCCAGCGGAATAAATTCACCACTGACAGCAACTGGGAGAGCAAGACGAAGTGATCGGTCGGTCCGTTGGTGTTTATCGTATTGCGAAAAAAACCTACAACAACAACAACAGTGCTGCACAAAGAATAAAAGCCCGCCGTAAAAACTTTTTCAATTTTCCCCCATTTTGATTTTTTTCGCGCCGCCTCGGCTCAAGTTAGTAGTTGGCGGGCATTAAACTGAAAGGAGGCGCAAGATTCTGCAGTCGAGATAAGTAGTGGTGCAAAACTTTGCAAAAAAAAAGTAAAAAGTTCGGAGACCTTTGGGAAAATCACGCAGTCTGCTCTGTGATATTTTATTAAATAGCCGCGACATTCGAATTCTGTACGCGATGGTGGGTTTTTCCTTCAGCACATCAACACACTGGCAGTCTCAGAAATTTGCTCGGCAAGCGTGCATGAAAAGTGGAAATTTCGCACATGCCAATAGGAAGGGCATACATTTTTTAACAAGTGCCGTGCTCGCCTGCCTGCAATTTTTCTTCGCTCTCGCTTTTCCGGCTCCTCATCTTTTGGGATCTTTAAAGGGCCGTGACTTGTGTTATAAGAAGGCAATCAGAATGATTTCGCAGCCGGGTATAAGGGTCGGTGCGGCAGGCTGTGTGCCGTCGGTCTGAAATGCTTTTCCTCCTCTTTGCGTACGCGGTCAATCGCAGCCAAGGCACGGAGAGCCTAAAAAACGAGAAAGACCAACTTTTTGCGTTTATTCTCATCATTGTCCACTTTGGCCAGCGATTTCTCAACGTTTTCGCTGGCAAAATTGCATGCCAAGATTTATATCGGCCCTCAACCCCGCTGAAACGAGGACATCAGAGTTGAAGACTTTCTTAATACGTACTCTTGACCAGCATTATATATGACCAGACTGAATTTCAAATGCATATTTCCACAATGTTAAAGCATCATTTATTTAAATTATTTTGTGCAGTAAAAAACATCAACAGCAAAATACAAAAATAAATTAGAATATAAAAATATTACAAACAAAATATGTTTAAATAAATTTATAATCAATAAAAAATATAATTAATGTTTTCTTTTTCAAGTTTTAAATTTTCTACATTTAAGTTCATATTTTACGCTGTAAGTTTGGTGAAAAGAGCAGATTTTTCCCGTGTTGGTGATGTTCAGTTACACGGACGATATTTTAAATCCGGAAGAATGAAGCAGTGCAACAAACAGAACGTTTCAATTACTAGATCATAAGATATAAATGCTTAAAAATATTCAAAGTAATATTTTAAACAATTATCTGCAATCGGATTTTAATCACTTTCAGCCTTTCGCCGTTTCATTAATTAAACTATTCTCACTAAAACCGCTTTATAAATTTTTTATATGATTTGACACATTTGTATGCCCTAAAAAACAACAAATTGTGCTGTCACGCATTTGCACGTAGGTAACATAATTTTCACTCCTAGCTGCGACTGACACACGAGAGAGAAGCAATTTCCCAACGGTGCAACAGTCAATAATTTCCCGCGGAAGCGGCTCTACGAGAGATGCAGACATGCATTCACGCCAATGCAGAGACGTTCGTTCCCAGACCACGGCATCGCTTGGTTGCCATTGCGCTCGCATAATCTCACTCTGTTGCGCCAATGTGTAATCCTGGGCAAGGCCTTTGCTGCAAAAGAAGTGAGAGGGAATATGTGCACATCTATGTTGTGGGTCAAAAGCGAATAATATTTCGTAAAAATCAGCAAGAACTGACAATGGGATGTGGTCAAAATGGCACGCGTCTTTATGTATTAAATAATTAAATATATTTAGAAAATTTAATTAACGAGTAAAATTCGAGTAAAAGATACTGAACTCGGAACCATTGTGCTAAAAAACACTTTTTTTACTGTTCTATCCAGGTCTAGATGTTGATTCAATTAATAAATTAAAAAAAATTATAATGAAGAAAAAGCAAGAAAATTAAACATTTTTCTTCTTCTTTTGTGCTTATTTATAATTCTATACTAGAGATTATGAGTATTTAAGATTTAAAATTGAGAAGTGTTTGTACTTCACTCCAGGTTGCGTATTGCCAATAACACTTTATACAAAAGCGTGCAAAGTTCAATTCATATTGTATGTATGTATGTGACACTTCTGGCTGCTGGAATGGGGTGGCACTTTACGCTGCATGAGTATCAGTGAAATGAAAGCTGCCGCTGCACTCGCGGATTAAAGTGCAGGTCTCCCATCCTCTCTCTCGAAAGTGGTTTTCAGCCTCGACGGACGAGACGGGTTGCACATCACAAAGGGGCAGTCGACCCAACAAACCAACCGACGTCTTCCGTCGGCGCCCCGCGAGAATTGCTGCTCTAACCGGAATATAATAGGCACGCTAATGGTCTCTTTGCACGGCACAATGTATACCAGGATCGTATTAATTATGAAATTAATGCAACTGGGACGGCGGCGGAACACTTTGTTTACCTGAATGAGTAATTTGCCATCAGCGTTACTCACACACTTACACTCACTGGCGATATGTACGCGCTTTAATTCAAGATTATGCAAATTCAGTTTGCTATCAAAAGTGATTTAAGTCTATGTAATAAAGTGTTGTTTATTAAAGGAAATACCGTTCCATTTTTAACAGCTTCATAATTTTATAATTAATCGTGTTCTTGCAACACAACAATATGTATAATATTTAAAAAAGTAATTCTACATGCTTTATAAACAACGAGATCTCAAAAAATTTAAAATAAAAAAAGTAAAGTTTATTTTTGTTTGTGATGAAAAATGAAACAGTTTTTAAGTCCTATTTTTTTTTTATAAATAAAATTTAATTGGCAAAAAATTATTGACGTTTTTCCAAATTCCATTTTTAATATTAAATAAAAATATAATTCGAATCGTAGTTCCAAAGAAAGATTAAATTATATCACAATAATAACCAAAATTGAATACGTCAACATTATATAAAACAAAAAGGAGAGAAAAAATTACATATTATATTTTCAATTTTTTGGCCTGCTCTTCTTGAAGAAATTTTGTGTTGCTGCTAAAAAAATTTTGAAAACGTTAAAGTAATTAAATAATTTTTTTCTTCAAGAATCATGCAATCATTTTTACTTATTTAAAAAAAAATGCAATTTAATAAAATGTGCTCGAACCAAAAACATGCTTTCGCATTTCACGTGTACCAGAATGTCTTTGCAATTCTCGACACAATATTAGCACAATTTGCCTTTGATTGTCATTCAATTGCTTCAAAGGGGCCCCATTCAAGTGGTTGCCAGCGGGGGGCACCAGAGAGAAATCATCTGGTCTCTTAAAATCACGTGTTTCGCTTGCTATTACAGTCTCTCAAAACAAGTCCATCCGATCTCCGACATTTCCTTGCGGTGCGTTGACGTGTGGCGGCGAGTGCCTGCTGGGCGACCCATACATTTTTTCCTGCGTCACCACGAGGTCAAATCAATCTCTGCCGTGCGTGTATTTACGTTCATACGCATGTTTTTAATCTAACCGCAAACATTTTTTAACCGCCTACCGAGAAGTTTGCTCCACTACGGACGCTGTCATGAAGTCTCCGTTAGCTCTGCTGAGGCAAAAGGCACTTCTCATACTAGCCGCACTTTTGCTTCTTGTAGCTCAAGGTAAATAAATAATTATTTGTCTGATGATGCATATTATCAAATTCACTTCCGAATTTCAATTATCAAGTTCATAATTTCACGATCATCACGTGCACAAGTTAAGAGCTAGCAGCTGAATTTATTATTAATATTTTTAATGTATGTAATGTAACTAATGTACAATGTAACACAGCTCAAAAACTATATTACAATATTTTAATTGAAATCCAAGAAAAAATTTATAATATTAACGCACGTAAATAAAACTAAGCAGTAAATATAAAACAATAACAAAATGTATTTTAAATAAATATTTTTTTATGTAAAATAAAATTTATCACAAAATAAATTATATATGTTTAAAAAAATATTATTAATAAACAATATTAAATTAATTTGACTTTATATAAACTGTAAGTCATGAAGAATTTAGGCATGTTGTGCTTATTGTTAGCATAATTGCGTGAGAGATTTATGTATTTTATGTAAAAAGTCATTTTAACAATTTTCCCGCCAGGAAAAATAAGATGATATATAATATTTTTTTTAATTAAAATAATGTTCTTATATATATCTAAGCTAAATTCTAATTTCAGCTTCATACAGTTGAAATAATTTTCTCACCTATTATGTCATTCGTATCCTCAGAATTGAATGCTTAAAATTGTGTTTTGAGATGAATAATGGCTGGTTCAAGTTTAAGAAATTGATTCTCTCACAGTGATGATCTGACTATTCTTATTTCTCTTTTCAAACTAAAAATTGCATTGTTAAAAATTACATTCATGCAAATTTTTCCTATGTTAAAATACAAATCATAAAAAAATTAAAGCCAGGGTCCCTAAAGATAAATTGTTCACCAACATTACTTGGTTGTAATTATGGTTTCAAAATTAATTTTCATAAATTTTATCAAGCATGAATGACTTTTGAAAGCATGACCCGAAGCCCGCAAATTCCAAACTGTCGCTTTCGAGCATTTCCCTTGCACACATTAAAAATCAATATGCAATATGATGGCAATTATCAGGAGCGGCCCTGCAGTGCTACTTCTGCTCGATCAACGACCCAGCGTGCCTGGACCCATTCACACCTGACAACTCGACAATGCAGCAGACCTGTCCCTCGTGGTCCAACATTTGCATCAAAACGGTCGAGCTGCGGACGAAGGGTGACAGCAGCCGGTGAATTTCACTTTTGCCCTTTTCTCACTTGCCTCTGTGTGTCGCAGAAACAGACGACCGCCGACACGTTTTGCGCGGCTGCTTCAGAGACAGTTTCCAAGGCGTCGACGGCTGCATGATGCTGAGGATGGCCGCACGCAGCGAGGGCATGGACATCCTCGCGTGTAACGTTTGCACCACCGACTTCTGCAACGACTTCTGACTTTAGATTAAAAACATAAAATTGTAGTCTAATTTAATTACAATTAACCTCTTGGTATTATATTTAAATATTTCTTTTTTTGTATTTTTCATACTTTCAATATTGATATTTTTTCTCAATAATTCACGTTAAAATTCACAATAAAAATAAAAATTTGGTACTGAAAATCATGATGCTTTAATAGAGTCCATAATTTAAATTCTTCTGAAAGAATCCAAGAAATGCACACCAACTTTCGTCAAAATCCGGATGCTCTACTTCAAACACATACCTTGTTAGTTGATTTTATATTATTTTTCTCTGTGTCTGATTTTTATTTTTAGTGGATCCCAATTTTTTCTCTTGCAAAAATATAATCAAATATATTTAATTTTATTTTTTTACTGATGTTTCCCTTTATTTAGATGGTTTCTGAAACAAATAAATAAATATATATTTATCAAATTTGCAACTAAAAAGTTTTCTCTTTATAATTTTTAATTACCGTAAAATTATTTGAGCTAAATTAATTATTGCGATGTTTTATAACAGACAATAATTTCTGATAACTTTTGGAGAGCAAGAAGTTGCAAAATCCCAACCGAATTTGTAAGTCGATGCATTTGTTCGGAATTGAAAGTGACACCCATGCAGGAATATGGTAAAGGAAGAAATGGAGATCAAGGCACTTCAAACAAAAGCAGTATTGGCTTTCAGCGCGGTCTCTTTGCCATGAATAATTGAATTCGCAGCCGGTCGAGCGCCATGGGCCGCAAAAAGGGATGTGTTCACCAGAGAGAAGGTGGAAAGCAAAGGACTCTGCCGACCATATGCAGTGAACAGTGGATAGGGATTATTTATAGCCACTTCATGGCCGAAGAAAAGCGATATCTTCATGTGGTGTGCGCAATAAATCTGCCACGAGATGAGAATGGATTGGACATGCATAATCTCCTTCAGTGAATATGCTGCAGTAAATAATGATTCTGAGGGCGCTGCATCTTTTTCTGCATTTTTCTGGAAAAGACAAGTTCAAAGTGAATTTGGCAGGAAAAACGATAGCTTTGTTGCCAAAAAGAACTACAATGAACTTTTGCACTAAGCTGACATAAAGCCACATGTGATATATTTCCAGTTTTTATTCATAGATTGTTGAAAGTTTTAGAAATATATATTCGATTAAAAAGCATTTTCTTACAATATATATCAGATATTTTTTTTTTAATTACTCAATTTTGAATTAGTACTAGTTGCATGAAATTAGGTTATGAATTTAATTTTACAATGACGCATTGGAAGTTGATTTTATATTTATTGATATTTGTCATATTTTTTTTTTTTTAAATTTAGACGTTATTTAAAAATTACTATAATACCTTGAATATATGATTCAACTAATAAAGATAAGTTAATAAATCCAAACTTTTAAACTATTAAAAAATTGTCTTCAAACAGTAAAGTAATTAGAGTTTAATTAATTTACAGCGTAAAAAAACGTTATAATAGGGCGTTTTAGCAGACATTTGATAGTTGAAAACCCTTTTCGCTCTTTTCAAATTTAAATTTTTTTGTGTAGCGATCAAGAAGAAAAAACAATAATAGTAAAAAGTTTTAAATGGAGTTGATAGCCGTATGAAAAATTAATTGATAGCAAATTAGTAAATAAAATGCTTCATCAAAATTTGTCTGTTCACAATTCATCCAGAAACGATTTAAGAGCACATCAGGAGCGCATTTTATCTGATCAATTACTTGGGAATTGTGTATGTGTGCGTTGGATATTTGCAAACACAAGTCGGACTTTGTGTAAAGTGTGCGTGGCTCTCGATGCCCAAGGGCTCTTGCAGGCCGAATTTGGTATTGGTGCGCGTGCAAGAACCTGAAATAGCCATTAACACTTGGCGTGAGGTTTCCATGGAAACTCGGTATATTTCCAGCAGTGTAGCCACGAAATTGAAGCTCAAGGGCCCGTGAAAATATCCTTGGCCGAGTTCTCTTTGCCGAAGGATTTGAATCACTTTGCACGGCGAACGCACCCGAAATAAACTCTTCAAGATTGTGTTCGCAGTTTACCTGTCTTAACTTTTATTGTTCTAGGAAGGCTAAAAATAATTGCAGAAAATAATCCAAACTTCCATCTGAGGCAGTAGTTTCAACCTAAAAGGAAGCTGAATCTACATAACTTTGAACGAAGCTCCAGTTGTGGAATTATTAAATTTTATTTGCAAAGTTTTAGGAGCTTTTCGTTGCGTTTGATCCAATTAGAAGCGCTCTGCAAATGAGGGAGAGATCAAAACTTACTTAAATGCGACTTTGCTCAAAAGGATTAAGTATTTAGCGGGCGCACGAGTCATTATCCGTGATGAATATTTAATTTCCTCCGTTCACACGCACACGCTCACGTGCACAAAAAGGCAGCGAGCAAGAAATCCCGCTTAATGTGAATATGGACGGATCTCGATGGGGCGCCACGCTTTTGCAATTTAAAATCTACACTTGAAACAAAGACGGGTCTTGATTCGCATTGGCATGCATCGGTTGATGAGCTAAATTGGTCTTGAGAGCAGCTATCAATTTTAAGCCCTTCAGAAATTGGGTCATCGCTTGCTATTATCCTTTTATAGTAAGTATACCGTTTAAATGTAATAAAATTAAATTCAAGTTCAAGTATAGTCCAATTTAATTAAAAAATGAACCTTGATTAACAACTTGAGTGTGACAAATTATGTTCATTTTTTTTTGGGTCCTAACTGCAAAAAAAAAATATTAATCTATATAACAAGAACATTGCACTGAATGTCATTAAATTAGAAATGTTTGAAAAATCTCAAAGCTAAATTATAATATAAAATATTTTTTGCTTCATCTTCCATTTTTATTTTATAACTTTTGTGTTTTTTGTGTGCATATATCAATACAAAAATTTTAATCACAAAATTTAGCAGTAATTCCTTTTTTTTAACGGAATTTAAATTGACAGTAAATTGTCCTTTTATATTTAAATTGAACGTTTCTTTAGGTTTATGTAAACTGTATATTGTTTTTGTTTATTTTTTGTTTCAAATTTAAAATAAGATACAGAAAGTATAAAAAAAAATATAAAAGCGAGTTCAGTAACTACAGAGATTTTGAAAATTAAAAATAAACCATGACTAATATTTCTCTTTGAAACTAATGAACCACCACAAAATCTTTCTTTAGCGTTTCAATCATATATCTAGGAGGCAAAATTTAGTTTGTTTACAAAGTTCTGTTTCCATCTGGCCAAGAAGAAAGTCCCTAAGGCGTTTGGCAAGGGTCTGCACAAAAGAAGCGAAAACTGCTTGAAAGGCAACTCTGCAAAATGACCGAATAAAGCGGCAAAGCTAATGAGAGCAGCCTCGTTGCGAACTCACAGGACTTTCGCAGCGGAAAGCTAATTGGCAATAGCGGCTATGGGTCTCTAGCAATAATAATTCAGACATTTGTTCGTTCGTTACTTTGGACGAGGGCGCCCGCGAGCGCTTTGCTTTTTGATTACAGCCTTCGCCAGATGAATGGAGCAGCAACGATGAATCTCGGCACACGAGAGGCGCGTTCGTTATATCTGCTGGATATAATTGGCATGTTGCTGCTCATTTGATGTGACGTCTCTAATGTGATTCAATATGATAAAAAGAAGCTAGTAGAAGAGGCAGCGAGCGACTCGTGCTGCGCCAACTCTGCTCCTCGCAGCAGAAAGAACTCTTAATAATCAGCGTGTGTGAATGCACGATTTTTCATTTGCCGTTTCCTCGGAGGAATCGCGCAAAAAGTGTTCCGCCTGCCAGCTGCCAGCGAAGAAATTGATTATCTATTCAAACGGAGTGCGAGTGTTTTACACGTGAGTATTACCACCAGCATTGTCAAATATTCTGAAGGCTCCGTTTGCAAACGTGCACTTGACACGGCGACACACGATTTGTCAAATTGGGAGGTGATTATTAATTACTGTCGCATGACAGTCTGACTTGCAGTATCTTCGGAATAAATAATTATTGCTTTTTATCAGACCCGCTTCTAATTCACCGCACATAATTCACAGGTGGAGCGTATTTGCAATTAATACACTTTGGATATTCAAATTTAGGTTATATATGAGAATTTCAAATTTTTACTAAACATTTTCCTCAAAGGCAGAAAAATAAAGCATCCATGTGTTAATTATTTCCTGCTTACATTAATGTGTGTGCAACTGTGCAAAAAAGGAAGTTTTAATTGAGGAAAAAATTGATCATATTATTTCTGCATTAAAAATATATTTTGAGCGCTACGAAATTTTGAATGTTCTGTTTTCGGATACCATTAAATTCTGCTGAAAACAACAAGGAAAATTCCGCAATTTATAAATATTTTCATTTTGGGAAAAGGCTGCTAAAAAATTCAATTTAAAGAGGGAAACATTTTATCCAAAAATTAATCTAAATTTTATATTATCATAAATTTTTTAAGAAAAAATACCCTTTTTAGACCCACTATATGTTTAAATTTGAAATTAAAAGTTTATATAATTATGTATGCATTATGTTGTTCACAAATCTCCTCGCAAATTTACTGGTAAGAAATCCAACTGTTGAAAATTACTCGGAAAATACATGCGGAGCTCTGTCAGTGGGACAAATAGGTTTAAAATAAATGTGCGACATGCATAGACACACTCTCTGGCGTGTGCCTGCCCTCGCAGCCGCCAGTGTGACACAGAAAAGCAATAAAATATGGACAGAGCAGATGTTGCGCGTTCCCATGACTGGTGAGAGAACGACAGAGAGAACAATAAATGAAATAGAGCGAACGAGAGCCGGGCGATGTACGAGAATTCAATCCGATGCATACGTCACACTGCCCCAATAGATTAACAATGGCTTAATACACGGTTCATTTTTTCCTCACTGTGTGGCTTGGCTCAATCTTGCACAATGTGCGCACCATTGATCTCATCATCGCAAGACGACAGGACATATCAAAGGGACATATCAAAGGGAGGTTTTTCATGTAAAAAAAAATTAAAGAAATGACTATAAAATTAAATTTATAAATTTATTTGATGTGTTCTTTTGTTTTTGATAAAATATAAATTGGCTGTCCAAATTAATATCATTCAATGGTCTGATAAATAAGGTTTAGAATGATTTTTATCAAAAGAAATTAAATTCATAATTCATTTTCAAAAATAAAATTGGTAACAATTGGACGGTTAATATGTCTTCCCAGAATAATTTATGCTATTAATCGAATTGAAAGAAAAAGGTTAAAAGTTATGATACAATTATTAAAAAGCTTAAGCATGTTTTCTGAAACTACTTTTTTTAAGAATATTGTTTATGCTCATTAGTGTTTTTCATTTTTTTTTGTCAATGTAATACAATAGCTGAACCCATTCATATAGTTATATTATTTTGTACATTAATTCGAAATTGAGCC